GATTGGGGAGGAATAGCATTAGGAGAAATACCTAATATAGATGATGGGGTGATGGATGCAGCAAACTACCACCATGGCACGTGTATACCTATGTAACAAACCTGAACCATCAGCATGTGTACCCCAGAACATAAAGTGTAATTTAAAAAAAAAAAAAGAAAATTACCAAATACAGTCAAGCTCAATGGCCCATACCTGTAATCTCAACGCTTTAGGAGGCCAAAGTAGGAAGATCGCTTGAGGACCGGAGTTAAAGACCAGCCTGGGCAACAAAGGGAGACGCTATTTCCACCCAAAAAAAAAAAAAAAATTTAGTTGGGTGTGGTGGTTCACACCTGTAGACTCAGCTATTCAGGAGGCTGAGGTGGGAGGATCACTTGAGCCCAGGAGTTTGAAGCTGCAGTGAGCCATGATCGCATCACCACACTCCAGCCTGAGCAACAGGGTAAGACCTTATCTCAAAAAATAATAATATAATAAAATTAAAAGAAAAAATGAAAATTACCAAATGTATTGCCAGCATCTTTCAAGATAATCATTAAGTTTTTAATTCTTTGACTTATTGACTTGATCAGTTATACTAATGTATTTTCCAATATTAAACAGTTCTTGTATTTCTGAAATAAACCTTATCTCATCACGATGATTTTTTTTTTTTTCTGACACAGACAGGGGTCTCAGTATGATGTCCAGGCTGGTCTCTAACTGCTGGCCTCAATGATCCTCCTGCTTTGGCCTCCCAAAGTGCTGGGATTACAAGCATGAGCAACTCTGCCCAGTTTCATTATTCTTATATTTTTTTAAACTTTTGTTTATTTAGGACTTTTCCCCTACATTCTTAATTGTGACTGGTTTATAATGGCGGGGAGGGGGGTGTTTTCTATTTGTCAGAGCTTGCTATAAGTTTTTTCAGTTTTTTTTAACTTTTTACAAAAATTGGGAGGCTTCCCCACATTTTCCATGCTCAAAACTGTTTAAATAGCAAATAAATTACTTCTCCCTACATGGCAATGCTGAGTTTTTGCTAGATGAGAACATAGCATTTGCCTAATAAATCTGCCTCTCTTCTTTCTCATTAGCCTATAAACAAATAAAATAATTCAACATGGTGCCCAAGAGATTACAAAAAAAAAAAAAAAAAAAAAGACCAGCACCGAAATTGCATGCCATTCAAATTATCCAGATGATACAGAGTGAAGTTATATTTTTAGTATATTACCTTCAAAATGAAAATTAAAAATAAAAAAAATAAAATATCTCAGACAACTTACAAACTGAAGCTGGAGAAATATTGGCTCAGACTACTAAAGTGTCTTGTTATTCAGCCTATTTAAGGCTGGACAAAATTCATTCATTCCTTCACTCAACAAATACTTGAGTTAGACATGATTCTAGGCACTAGCAATACAGATGTAAACAAGACACATGAAGTCTCTGTCCTTGTGGTGCTCACAATTTAATAGTGGGCAGAAGAGTGAAAAACAACAACAACAAAGCAAAAAGCCAAGGTAACAAATGGAAAAAATATATATAACATATAATGGGGCAGACAGTGATTGGAGTAGGGATACTGAAGTGTTGGGATGCCCAGGGAAGACATCTCCAAAGAGAGGACATTTGACCGAGACTTGGACCAAGGCAGGAAGTTAGCCAGGCTCCTGGAGGAAGAACAGTGATCTGTAATGTTTCATTCACATTAAATTATGACGTTAAATCATGGATTTTACAACTTTCCACAAATTGCCTTCTCCCACTGGAATATAGAAATAGATGCTATCTCTCATATGCTGCAAACTTAAAAGGCTTTTTATTTTCTTTTCCAAATTCACTAATTATTTTAAATCTGACAATAGAGTAACTCTACTTAAATTTTTTTTAATTGGAATTTTTTGCTATTGAATTTTGCCCCAATATATTTTTAAGAAAAATTTGTCAGTGGAGAATATTGAGGTTTTTTTTAACATAAAAATTACATGATTATACAGAGGATGGCAGTTGACATGGAACAGCCTTCCTGTGTGCCAGCATTTTCCAAGCGTTTATATTTATTACCTCATTTAATCCTCACAGCAATGCTTTAGGTTTAAAGATCCTCGTTTTGCCTAGAAATTGAGACAAAAAGATCAAGTGGTTTACCAAAGCCACAGAGCCCTTACAGCTCATAAGTCAGAACTGAAAACTCAGGTGTGTCTAACTTTGAAGCAGGGGCTTTGCTCACTCCACCTGCCTCCCTATCCCCAACTACCTTTTGCTAACACTGCCCATTATTGTATTTCAGCTGAAACAACTTTAAGAGAATTTCAAAGGCAGTATGAACAAATGGAATTTGGAGTATTCCCGACAGATGCACATAAAAGCTTAGAGGACACAGACTCGTCAATTAATGAAAGTAAAGAAATAATATATTGCTGATTTTATTGACCAGATCATTCCTAATATAAATAGATGAGCTGATAAAATATATTATTCTTTCATTGTAGGGTACATTCAAGGCTCCCAAAGGGAGAGAAGCAGTTCTTTAGAGGACACTGAAGAAGCCAAAACAAAATCAGAAAATGTCCTTTCTGATCAAGCTGCTAAAGTTGATAAAGATGGTAACAAAGTGAACTACTAATGCCATGTTTGTGGATCTCATTTTCATTTAGTTCATATTTAATTATGTTTATACTTATGCTTAAAATTACCCCCAAAATTGGAAACTTCAGGAGGAAAAAAGCTAAATTATTTCTTATGGATTTAACCTGAACAACTATAGAACAGAAGTCAATTTACTAGAATGAAGAAGAAAACATAGAAAATGGGAAGTCAAATACAATTAAAGCCCAAAGAAAAATGTTTGAATGTTTCCAACGTGATACAATCATTATCATATGATAAATTCTTTTTTAAACTTTAACTGTGAAATTTTATCATTTACCCATTGTGCTATTTATCCTTATAAAATTTTTCTATTCATACTTGAACCATAAGAGCATATAACATTATATTATATAACATTATATAATAATTATATGTAATATACTACAGAGTAGCTAAATGTAAAGTGTTTTTATGTTTTTTTCCTTATAATGTACGATTTAATTATATTACTTCATTGGGAAATATTTTAATCCTCATTTTAAGTTACTGCACAAGTTCTCTAGAATTCCTGGAGATTTATAGGAATTACTAAATTAATAAATATGAAGCTATAGACAGAGTAAAATTGCTTTGCATAAAATTGTTCCAAATTATGTTTCCCCAGTAATATACAAAATATATGTTATTGTTTCCTCAGTATTTTCTGTTGTTTTAATTTTTAGTTAGGTAATTTATATTCATATTTGTTAACCATTTATATTTCTTCTTTTTTGAGGTGACTATTTTTGGTTTTTGCTGATTTTTCTAAATGGTTATATCAATTATACAGTCTCTATATAAACTTTCCATATTAGTGTCTTACTTTTCATCTATTTTACAAATTGGGTGGTTTGTCTTCTAAGTCAGCTTGCTGTTTTTGATATAAAGGTATTTTTTCACATTTTTGCAGTCAGATCATTATTTTCTCTTTGTTGCTTTCTTCCTTCACTTTTAGCTTAAAAAGTCTTCCTCTCAATCAGGCATTTATCTATATATAATGTATATATACATATTTTTGTATATCATATAAATACATATATTTTATATATTATATAAATATACATTATAAAATAAGTTACAGGTCTTAAAACTGTAACTTACTTTATAATAAGTTTAAAACTGAATGAAGAAAACCAGAATATAAGTTTATTATATATATACAGACTTACAGAGATATATATAAATTTTATATATACACTTATATTTATATATGTCCTCCTCTCAGTCACACATTTATATATATATGGGTCTCCCTCTCAATCAGGCATTTATATATATATTAAATGTCTGAGAGGATTATTATTATATTATATATACAAATGTCTGATTGAGAGGATTGATTGATTATATATAATATTATATATATGTCTGATTTATAATATATAATATTATGTATAATTATATAAATGAGAGAAAGACATTTATATATATAAATAATAGAGAAGAGGACATATATAAATATAACTTTATATATATAAATTGATATATGTATAAATTTTATATAAAATATTTCTATAAATTTATATATATAAACATATTGTGGTTTTTTATTCAGCTTTAAAGTTCATCATCTATAATTTATTTTGTTAAATAATAGAGCTGATTTTTTAGTTTCTCCTACTAATTCAGACACATGTGCTTGCCTGCTGTTTAAAGCCTAGTAAGAATTGAATGGGGCACCGTTAGAAACTCACGTATGGCACTCCTCCCTTAACTCACACAGCCTTCACAGAAGGACCCCACCCCCTGTATATTAAATTTTTGGCCATCAGATGGAAGCTGACAGCCCCATGTCTGCTGCTGTGGAGTTCCCAGCTCCAATCCACAAAGAAAGCCCCTCCTCGAGACTATCTGCTCCCTCTTTGGGAGAGGCAGTACAAGTTAGAAGCAGGCAGCAGTACCTCTACCCATTGCTGGACGGATACCAATATTGCCAATATTCGTGGGTGAAAAGGCACCCTTCTTCCCCATGTCTCTGAGATAAGCACAGCCTTGACAGCTAAGAGTCAAGACGGTGTTAGCTGCCTCAGAAGGGGCACTGTAGATTGTTTTTTTCCATTTAGATGCATTGGCATTATAATAAGCTGAAACTACTCCTGGTTTTGTTATAGGTTATTACCTTCATTATCTGCTGCTAGATATATTTACCCATTTAAATGTTATGGTTGTTATTTTAATTAAAAATTGGGCATGTGAGTCCTGGTTCCCTAGGTTTATATTACAATCTTCCTTGGGAATTACCTACATTTTTAAAAATACAATTCTTTAGGCATTCACAATGTTTTATTCATAGATGGAAAAGAAACCGGTGAAACATTTAAAATGCATTCTCAAGAAGCTAGTCAAGATGTAAAGTTGTATTCAGATACAAGTAAATTAATATTTGGGTAATTTGATTCTTTTATATTGTGGTTTTAAAACACAAGTAATTCCTTCAGAATTTAGAATAAGAAATATGTGTTGTTTTTTTTTTAAAAAAAGCATTACTAATATCCAAGTTATTCTGTTTTAATGGCTTTTCTATTATGAAAAGTTGGACATGCAAGAACATTGAAAAAAATAATACATGATATGTTGTTTTGGTGAAAAAGAATATTGGAAAGACAGGCAGTCTTTCTGCTCTGCCATCCCTGGCATAGCTACAATAATAATCTGCAAGATGGCTGCTAGAGCTCCAGCCATCATATCAGTGTACATAGAAGGAACATTGGAAACGGAAAGGGAAAGGGAATGGGAAAGGAAAAGGAAAAGGAGAGAGGAGAGGACAAAAACTGGCACTTCACTTAGCTGAGTCAGCTGAGTGTGAGGAGTACATGTGAACGTGAGTGCACACACGCATGCACGAGTGCGCGCGCCCATGCACACACACACACACACACGCACACACACATTCTGCTTGCCTCTTACTGGCTGTCCAAGCTATAAGGGAAGTTGAGAGATGCAGTTTTTCAGCTGGGCACATTGCTAACCTTGACAAAGTCAGAGTTCCTGTATGAAGGAAGAGGCGAATGGATATTGGCAGCTTTTAGCACATTTAGCATCTTTGCCTGGCTGTTTCTGCCTCACTGTGCACCCACTCTTATGGGCACAGTAAGATCATGGGTTCTTGACTTTTCTGCTCTGTCTCTCCAGGAACTGTAACTCTGTTGATCCCTGAGAACACTTTCAGACAGGGAGGGCAGCAGGCAACTGCTCTTTGAAGGCCCTGTGGGATTTTTCTGGGCTGGGATCAGTCCGGCTCCAGCTAGAGACCCTGACAGATGGAGCCCTGAGGTAGAGGCTCAGAAGCTTGACTGCAGTTGCAGAATTCAAGGAGTCAGGTGAAACTGCCATACTCCTGTCTCATTAGAGTAGCAGATGTACAAACATTTACATCACGACGCAGCCTAAGAGCCAGCTCTGGCATGCAAGGACACACTTCAGCACCAAAGAGGACAAGAATCACGTGTAACACTTGAAACACCAGCCTATGCCACCTTTTCCCCGTCCCCTGCAACTTGCCTACCTCTTGTCCTCTTACCGTCCCTTGTAATTGGAAGTAATTCATCATGTTTTTTGACTCATTCCCTAGATGCTTGTGTTTTCACTTGACTCCTGGAATCCTCTGCCCCCTACATTTCTTCCCTGGTTTTGACTCCTGCCTGCATGACTTTCTTCTTGTGCCTTTCACTTTCATTCTGCTGCACTGGCTTTAAGTCACTTCTCAGAGAGTTTGTGGTTCTGTGATTCCTGACTTCACATTTCCTCTCTGACGTCTTAGTTCTCCCCCTTCCAATGTGTGCTGCAATGACATGAAAATAATACTTTCTTGGGTCAGATATTATCAATCATATTTTATTGCAAATAGTATTGTCCACTAAAATTATTCATGGCATTAATTTATCAGCTTATTTTACTTTTGTCCCAACAGAAGACTCAATAGAAGAGGTAACTGCAGATCATCCAGAGGTTGTGTCCATGATTGAGAAGACTATAAAAATGTCACAGGATATGAACTTTGAACAGCCATATGAAAAGTATGCTGAAATCTTACAGGAAGTCCTTAGAGAGGTAAAAAATCTAGCTGGGTAATTCTTTTCAGTGACTTAACTATAACTGAGAAAATGTTAAGACTTTAAAATAATTATGAACATACTAGATTATGGTGTTGAAATTTGTAGCCATCAAATTCATGTACATTGTGTAGTCAGCATTGCTAAGTGCAAAGTACCCCAGTGAACAACTACTGATGCTCTTTAGTAAATTTTCAAATATAAACAAAATTATGTAATATAATTTTATGCCTTTGAAATTAATTCTTAATTAAATTTTATTGTCTTTGATTCCGTTCAGTTAGTTAAAAGATGATGCATATTGGTATTAGGTACCAAAGTTATATGTTTCAAATATGAACTAATTAGTTATAAGCCAAGACAATTTTTGCTCGATTGTTAATTAATTTCATCCAAACTGCTTGAACATGTGTTCATAGGGGAGATGAGTGGACACACATTACTCACTGGGGCTTGTTGGGGTGTTGGGGAACAAGGGGAGGGATAGCAGTGGTTGGGGGATGGGGAAGGATAGCATTATGAGAAATGCCTAATGTAGATGATGGGGTGATGGGTGCAGCAAACCACCATGGCACATGTATACCTATGTAACAAACCTGCACTTTCTGCATATATACCCCAGAACTTAAAGTATAATAATTTTTAAAAACCACATGAAAGTATTAAACTCTTTGCAAGTATTAGACCTCTTTGCAGGTCTGAAAATGCAATTACAAGATCAAGACTGCAAAGCAAGTAGTTAATAACATTATGGCAAGAAGAAAGCCTTACATGTCAATGCTAACATTAAACATAAATGGGCTAAATGCTCCACTTAAAAGATATTGCCTGGTGGAATGGATTTTTTTAAAAATTCCACTCAGGTGTGGTGGCTTACACCTGTAATCCGAGCACTTTGGGAGGCGAAGGCAGGCAGCTCACTTGAGGTCAGGAGTTCAAGACCAGCCTGGCCAACATGGTGAAACCCCATCCCCATCTCTACTAAAAATACAAAAATTAGCTGAGCTTGATGGTGAGTGCTTGTAATCCCACCTGCTCGGGAGGCTGAGGCAGGAGAATTGCTTGATCCTGGGAGGCAGAGGTTGCAGTGAGCCGAAATTGTGCCATTGCACTCCAGCCTGGGCAAAGAAGTGAGACTCCGTCTCAATAACAACAAAAAAAATTCAACCATGTGCTACATATAAGAAACCCACCTAACTGGTAAAGACATTTACAGAGTCAAAGTAAAGGGATGGAAAAACATATTCCACAAAATGGAAACCAAAAGTTAACAGGAGTAGCTATATTTACATCAGATAAAACAGACATTAAATCAACAGTAGATTTTTAAAAAAGACAAAGGAGATCATTATATCATCATAAAAGGTTCAGTTTCACAAGAAAAGATGCCAATTCTAAATATATATGCATCCAACACCACAGCACCAAGATTCATAGAACAAATACAACTAGACCTAAGAAAAGAGATAGACAGCAGTGCAATCATAGTAGGGGACTTCCATACTCCACTGACAGCTCTAAACAGAACATTAAGGCAGAAAATCAACAAAGAAACTCTAGACTTAAATTGGATTCTAGACCAAATGAATCTAACAGACATTTACAGAACAGTCTACCCTACACCTGCAGAATATTCATTATTCTCATCTACCCATGGAACATTCTCAAATGCCCATATGCAAGGCCACAAGGCAAGTCTCAAAAAAATTTTAAAAATTGAAATCCTATCAAGTACCTTCTTGGACCAAAGTGAAATAAAACCAGAAATCAATATCAAAAGGCACCCTCAAAACCATACAAATGTATGGAAATTAAATAATCTGCTCCTGATGATTGTTGGATCAAAGATGAAATTAAGGCAGAAACTTTTTAAAGTTTTGAAACAGTTAAAATAAACACAACATATCAAATGTGATTGAGGTACAGCAAAAACAGTGCTAAGAGGCAATTTTATAGTGTTAAGCGCCTACATCAAAAAGATAGGAAGATCTCAAATTAACAAATCTAACATCGTATCTCAAAGAACTAGAAAAGCAAGAGCAAACCACATCAAAAGCTAGCAGAACTAAATGAAATTGAGACCAAAAAATATTACAAAGGATTAATTAAAAGTTTGCTCTTTGAAAAAATAAACAAAATTGATAGCTAGGTAATCAAGTGAAAAAGATAGAACATTCAAATAAGCAAAATCAGAAATAATTAAGGTGTCGTTACAACTGATGCAACAGAAATACGAAAGATCACTAGGGACTACTATCAGCATCTCTATGCATACAATCTGGAAAACCTAGAGGAAATGGATAAGTTCTTAGAAATATACAACCTCCCAAGATGAACCAGAAGAAATAGGAACAGACCAACAAAGAGTAGTGAAATTGAATCAGTAATTAAAAATCTTTCAACAACAACAACAGCAACAAAGCCCAGGGTCAGATAGATTTACAGCCAAATTCTGACAGATGTAAAAGGAAGAACTGCTACCAATCCTACTAAAACTGCTCCAAAACATCAAGGAGGAGGGATTCCTCCATAACTCATTCTATAAAGCCAGCATCACTCTGTTACCAAAGCCAGACAATGACACAACAAAAAACGCTATAGACCATTATTCCTAATAAACATAGATGCAAATTTCCTCAATAAAATACTAACAAACCAGAGTCAACAACATATACAGAAAGAAAATCATCACAATCAAGTGAATTTTATCCCAGGAATGTGAGGTTGATTCAACATAAACAAATCAATAAATGTGATTCACCACTTAAACGGAATTAAAAACAAAAAATTATGTGATAATATCAATAGGTGCAGGAATAGCATTCAGTAAAATCCAGCATCACTTCATAATAAAGCCCTTACCAAACTAGGCATAGAGAGAACATACCTCAAAATAATAAAAGCCATATATAACAAGCCCACTGCCACCATTATACTGAATGAGGAAAAGTTAAAAGTATTCCCCCTAATAACTGGAACAAGACAAGTATACCCAGTTTCACCACTCCTGTTCAACATAGTCCTAGAAATCCTAGCTATAGCAATCAGGTGAGAGAATGAAATAAAAGTCATCCAAATTGGAAAAGAGGAAGTCAAATGATCTCTGCTGATGATATGTTTCTATACATAGAAAAACCCTAAAGACTCCTTCAAAAGACTCGTAGATTTGATAAATGACTTCAGTAAAGTTCCAGGATACAAAATCAACCAAGAACTCAATCCCATTTATAATGGCTATGAGAATAACAAAATACCCAGGAATACATTTAACCAAGGAGGTGAAAGATCTCTGCAAGGAGAACTACAAAATACTGATGAAAGAAACCATATGTAACACAAATAAATGGAAAAACATACCATGTTCATGTATCAGAAGAATAAATATTGTTGAAATGACTAAGCTACCCAAAGCAATCTACAGATTTAATGCAATTCCTATAAAAATTGCTGATGTCATTCTTCACAGAATTAGAAAAAATAATAATGAAATTTATACAGAACAATAAAAAGAACCCAAATAGCCAAAGCAAACTTAAGCAAAAAGAATAAAGCTGAAAAAGCAATAAAGTCAAAGCAAACTTAAGCAAAAAGAATAAATTGCCAGACTTCAAATTATACTACAAGGCTATAGTAGCCAAAACATCATGGTACTGGTATTTTTAAAAGACACTTAGATTGATGGAAAAGAATAGAGAACCCAGAACTAAAGCCACATGCCTACAACCAAGTGATCTTTGACAAAGCCAGCTAAAATATACACTGTAGAAAGGACGCACCGTTCAATAAATGGTGCTGGGAAAATTGGAGAGCCATATGCAGAATGATGAAACTGGACACCTATCTCTCACCACATACAAAATTAAGATGGGTTAAAAACTTAAATGTAAGAACTCAGACTATAAAAATCCTAGAAAAGAACCTAGGAAAATCTCCTCTGTACATTAGTATAGGCAAAGCATGTATAACTAAGTCCTCAAAAGGAAATACAGCAAAAACAAAAATAGACAAATGGGATGTAATTAAATGAAACGTTTCTGAAGAAATAATCACCAGAGTAAACAGAGGACCTACCTAATAAAAGAAAATATTTGCAAACAATGCATCTGACAAAGGGCTAATATTCAGAATCTACCAGGGGCTCAAACAACTCAACAAGAGAAAAACAACCCCATTAAAAAGTGGGCAAAGGACATGAACAGACATTTCTGAAAAGAAGACATGCAAGCAGTCAACAAACATATGAAGAAAGTGCTCAGCATCACAATCATCAGAGAAATGCACATTAAAACCACAATGAGATAGTATTTTACATCAGTCACAATAGCTATTATTAAAAAGTCGAAAAACAGCAGATGTTGACAAGGATGCAAAGAAAAGGAAATGATTTATACACTGTTAATGGGAATGTAAATTAGTACAACCTTTATGAAAATAGTATAGAGATTTTCAAAGAACTAAAAATGAGACTACTGTTCAACCCAGCAATACCACTATTGGGTATCTGCTCAAAAGAAAAGAAGTCTTTTATCAAAAAGACACTGCACTAGTATACTTATCGCAGCACTATTAACAATTGACAATTAACAATAACACTTAGGTTGATTCCAACCTAAGTGTTCATTAGTGAAGAACAAAATCCAGCAGAAACATGGCTGGAACTGGAGGACATTATCTTAAGTGAAAGAACTCAGACACAGAAAGACAAATACAGCGTGGTGGGAGCGAAACAATCTTTACACATAGAAGCAAAATATGGAATGATGGATAACAGTGTATCAGAGGGGTGGGGAAGCAGTGGGTGATAGAAGCTTGCTTGACTGATACAATGTGCCTTACTCTGGTGATGGATGTACTGAAAGCCCTGAGTTCACCACAGTGCAATAGATCAATGCTGCAAAATTGCACTTGTAACCCATGAATATACACAAAAAATAAAGAAAGTGGAATGAGGTGGAGAAATTATGAGTTATATCTCAATGTTGTTTTCTTTCAAACAACAATTGAAACACTAAAAAATTGTTTGAAAATTTGTTTCAAAAATACAATTTAAAATTTGAATGGTTAAATTTTTATTAACCATTTATTTGTCTTCTTCATAGCTTTTCTTTTTCCCAAATTCTCTTATGTTAAGCATTTCAATGTGCTTAAAATTCTTTTTTAAAAGACTGTTCATTCAGATAAAAATTCAAAAAGCAAGCTGGACATAGTGGTGCAAGTCTGTAGTCCCAGCTACTCAGGAGGCTGAAGTGGGAGAATCACTTCAGCCTAGGAGTTCTAGACCAGCTTGGGCAACATAGCAAGACCTCATCTAAAAAAAAAAAAAAAGTAGATAATTTTAAATTCTGCATAGGCCTGTCACGAGGGTAATATTGGCCCTCTTGACGTCTCTTCCCCTTTGACTTCTAATATTTTGTGATTACCTAGTGGCACACAAACTTGTTTAAAACTCTCAGAATTGGTGTTTTCACAGATACACATTACTAATTTCCAAATATGTGTTGAAACTATTGCTATTGGAGAGAAAAGGCAAGACAAGAGTTTAGCAGATTTTTCTAAGCACCTGCAAAGTTTGTTTTGTTGTTTTGACTCAGTGCTTCCCACTGCCATTATTAGGAACTATCTCAGTACCTCTCAGCTCGCACACTGAGAAATAAAAGCAAAAGAGAAGTGAAGGGCGTTGTCTCTGAAAAGGCCAGCTGGATCAGGAGCTTTCTACTTAGAGTGGCCCAGGCACTGTCATCACCTAGAAGCATGTTAGAAAGGTAGACTCTAGGGCCCCTCTACAGACCTTCTGAATCACAATCTGCACTATGAATAATATATAGCAAAAATATATTATTATATTTATTGCACAAAGGATTTTCTTCCCATTGTTAATTTTATTGTTGTCTCATTAGAGACAGGGTCTCACACTGGTGCAGTGGCACAATTATAGCTTACTGCAACCTCAAACACCTGAACTCAAGCAATGCTCCTGCCTCAGCCTCCTGTGTAGCTGATACTACAGGCATACACCACTGTGCCCAGCCTCCATTCTTAACTTTTAAAACTTACTATTTTATTGCTTTAAAAATATGTTTATCTTTAAAAATTATCACTCTTTTTTTCCTTTTGAAAGAAGAACTTAAAGGATACTTGTTTAAGATCCACAGAAATTACATATCAAGGTAGCATCCTTGACTTGTCAAGCTATGATATTAATATCAGTGTACAATTTTTCACAGGTAATGGAAGAAAACAAGGATAGGTTTCCTGGTGCCCCAAAATATGGAGGCTGGATCATGGACAACTGCCCTATTATGAAAGAATTGTGGATGGTCTTAATCAAGAAAGAAATTATACCTGATTTGGTCATCTATTTATCAGATACAGTAAACAATGGTTGGTAAATATTTACTATGTAAATTTGAAAGTAAAGTTTTTATTATTGATCATATTTTTGGTTCAATATAAAATGGATAACTCTCCACTCTTCCTAGATAGAAAGACCACCCCAGCAATCTCTACAGGAACTAGAGATACATAAAATGAGGCTTCCATATACTGAGAAGGTGGCAAGAAATAAGTGCCGGATGGCTGAATGTTCTAGCTGGCCCTTCAAATTGTTCTTCAAAGCTGATAATTTAGCACACACACACACAAGTAGAAGCTATAACTTCTTAATGAATAATATATAAGGCTGAGGGCAAAGACTAAATATTAGTTCTCCTTCACCTCAAGTAGAAAAAATGAGGTACACAAATTTAACAAAATTAAATTTTAATTATTCCATTTGCCTCTTAAACATTCAAAATGGGAATTTCCAGGGGAAAAAATATAATGCCTCTTTTTATGTTTTATTTATTTATACAGTATTAATACATACCTTTTTATAAAGAATTTAAGATGGTCTATTTATATTTTAATAAGAATCTTGGCTCTATTTTGATACATGCTTAAAGAAAAATAATTTTTCTATTAATCTTCAAAATATGTTTCACTGTATTTTATAAGCTTCAAAAGTAATATTAGTCTATCTGTATTTCAGGAAAATGTTTATTAAATAGAATATATTTACGGAATAAATCTGAAATTGACTCTAAAATTTTAGAAAGATTATTAGAAGAACTACAAAAGAAAAAAAAGGAGGAAGAAGCAGCAAGGTAAAATCTGCCTAGAATGATAAAACCAGATTGATGTATGTGTTTAGTAGTTAAATATCTTTTTGCAATTTACACTTATAGAATATATTTAATATTGAAATGAATTCTTTTTATTATACTTTAAGTTCTGGGGTACAAGTGCAGAATGTGCAGGTTTGTTACATAGGTATACCCATAACATGGTGGTTTGCTGCATCCATCACCCTGTCATCTACATTAGGTATTTCTCTTAATGCTATCCCTCCACTAGACCCCCACCCCCTGCTATGCCTCCCCTAGACCACCACTCCCAAGGCCCCAGTGTGTGATGTTCCCCTCCCTGTGTTCATGTGTTCTCATTGTTCAACAGTCACTTGTGAGTGAGAACACAGTGTCTGATTTTCTCTTCTTGTGTCAGTTTGCTGAGAATGATGGTTTCCAGCTTCATTCATGTCCCTGCAAAGGACACCAACTCATCCCTTTCTATGTCTGTATAGTATTCCATGGTGTATATGTGCCACATTTTCTTTATCCAGTCTATCATTGATGGGCATTTGGTTTGGTTCCAAGTCTTTGCTATTGTGAACAGTGCCACAATAAACATATGTGTGCATGTGTCTTTATAACTGAATGATTTATAATCCTTTGAGTATATACCCAATAATGGGATTACTGGGTCAAATGGTATTTCTAGTTCTAGATCCTTAAATAATCGCCACACTGTCTTCCACAATGGTTGAACTAATTTACACTCTCACCAACAGTGTAAAAGCATTCTTCTTTCTCCACATCCTCTCCAACATCTGTTGTCTCCTGATTTTTTAATGATTGCCATTCTAAGTGGCATGAGATGGTAGGTATCTTAATGTGGTTTTGATTTGCATTTCTCTAATGACCAGTGATGATAAGCTTTTTTCATATATTTTTTGGCTGCATAAATGACTTCTTTTGAAAAGTGTCTGTTCCTATCCTTCGCCCACTTTTTGGTGTGGTTGTTTATTTTTTTCTTGTAAATTGGTTTAAGTTCTTTGTAAATACCAGATATTAGCCCTTTGTCAAATGGGTAGACTTCAAAAATGTTTCCAATTCTGTTGGCTGCCAGTTCACTCTAATGATAGTTTCTTTTGCTGTGCAGAAGCTCTTAAGTTTGATTAAATCCCATTTGGCAATTTTGGCTTTTGTTGCCATTGCTTTTGGTGTTTTAGTCATGAAGCCCTTGCCCATGTGTATGTCCCGAAAGGTATTGCCTAGGTTTTCTTCTAGGGTTTTTATGGTATTAGGTCTTATGTTTAAATCTTTAATCCATCTTGAGTTAATTTTTGTGTGACATGTAAGGAAGGAGTCCAGTTTCAGCTTTCTGCATATGGCTAGCCAGTTTTCCCAACACCATTTATTAAATAGGGAATCTTTTCCACATTGCTTGTTTTTGTGAGGTTTGTCAAAGATCAGATAGAGTTGTGGATGTGTGGTATTACTTCTGAGGCCTCTGTTCTGTTCCATTGGTCTATATCTCTATTTTAGTCCCAGTACCATGCTGTTTTGATTACTGTAGACTTGTAGTGTAGTTTGAAGTCAGGTAGCGTGATGCCTCTAGCTTGTTCTTTTCCTTAGGATCGTCTGACTATGTGGGCTCTTTTTTGGTTTCATATGAAATTTAAGGTTGCTTTTTAATTTTTTGAAGAAAGTCAATGGTAGCTTGATGAAGATATCATTGATTCTATAAATTACTTTGGGCAGTATGGCCATTTTCACAACATTGATTCTTCCTAACCATGAGCGTGAAATGTTTTCCCATCTGTTTGTGTCCTCTCTTATTTCCTTGAGCAGTGATTAGTAGTTCTCCTTGAAGGGGTCCTTCACATCCCTTGTTTGTTGTATTCCTAGCTATTTTATTTTCTTTGCAGGAATTGCGAATGGGAGTTCACTCATGATTTGGCTCACTATTTGTCTGAAATTGGTCTATAGGAATGATAGTGATTTTTGCACATTGATTTTGTATCCTGAGACTTTGCTGAAGCTGCTTATCAGTTTAAGAAAATTTTGGGCTGAGACAATGGGGTCTTCTAAATATACAATTATGTTGTCTGCAAATAAAAGCAATTTGACCTCCTCTTCTCCTAATTGAATACTCTGTTTCTTTATTATGCCTGATTGCCCTGGCCAGAACTTCCAATATTATGTTGGATAGGTGTGATGAGAGAGGACATCCTTGTCTTGTGCTGGTTTTCAAAGGGAACGCTTCCAGTTTTTGCCCGTTCCGTATGATATTGGCTGTGGGTTTGTCAGAAACAGCTCTTATTATTTTGAGATGCATTCCATCAATATGTAGTTTGTTGAGTTTTTTAGCATAAAGAACTGTTGAATTTTGTCAAAGGCCTTTTCTGTATGTATTGAGATAATCATGTGGTTTTTGTCTTTGGTTTTATGTGATGAATTATGTTTATTGATTTGCATATGTTAAACCAGCCTTGCATCCCAGGGATGAAGCCTACTTGATCATGATGGATAGGTTTTTTGATGTGTTGTTGGATTCAGTTTGCCAGTATTTTATTGAGGATTTTAGCATCAATGTTCATCATGCATATTGGCCTGAAATTTTCTTTTTCAGTTGTGTCTCTGCTAGGTTTTGGTATCAGGATGATGTTGGTCTCATAAAATGATTTAGGGAAGATTCCCTCTTTTTCTATTGTTTGAAATAGTTTTAGAATTTACCAGCTCCTTTTTGGACCTCTGGTAGAATTTGGCTGGGAACCCAGCTAGTTCCTGGACTTTTTTGGGTTGGTAGGCTATTAACTGCTGCCTCAATTTCAGACCTTGTTATTGGTCTCTTCAGAGATTTGACATCTTCCTGGTTTAGTCTTGGGAGGGCGTAAGTGTCCAGGAATTTATCCATTTCTTCTAGATATGTTGTTTTATTTGCATAGAGGTGTTCGTAGTAATCTCTGATGATAGTTTGTATTTCTGTGGGATAGTGGGTTATATCCCCTTTATCATTTTTTATTGCATCTATTTGATTCTTCAGTTTTGTCTTTTATTAGTCTGGCTAGTGGTCTATTTTGTTGATCTTTTCAAAAAACCAGCTCCTGGATTCATTCATTTTTTGAAGGGTTTTTTTGTGTGTGTATCTCTATCTCCTTGAGTTCTGCTCTGATCTTAGTTATTTCTCATCTTCTGGTAGCTTTTGAATTTGTTTGATCTTGCTCCTCTAGTTCTTTTAATCATGATGTTAGGGTGTTGATTTTAGATCTTTCCTTGCTTCTCTTGTGGGCATTTAGTGCTATAAATTTCCCACTAAACACTGCTTTAAATGTGTCCCATAGATTCTGGTACATTGTGTCTTCATTTTCATTGGTTTCGAAGAACATCTTTATTTCTGCCTTCATTTTATTATTTATCCAATAGTCATTCAGGAGCAGGTTGTTCAGTTTCCATGTAGTTTTGTGGTTTCGAGTGAGTTTCTTGATCCTGAGTTCTAATTTGATTGCACTGTGGTCTAAGAGACTGTTTGTTATGATTTCCATTCTTTTGCATTTGCTTAGGAGTGATTTACCTCCAATTATGTGGTCAATTTTAGAATAAGTGTGATGTGGTACTGAAAAGAATGTGTATTCTGTGGACTGGGGGTGGAGAGTTCTGTAGATATCTGTTACATCTGCTTGGTCTAGATCTGAGTTCAAGTCCTGGATATTCTTCTTAATTTTCTGTCTTGTTGGTCTGTCTAATATTGACAGAGGGGTGTTAAAGTCTCCCACTATTATTGTGTGGGAGCCTAAGTCTCTTTGTAGGTCATTAAGAACTTGCTTTATGAATCTGGGTGCTTCTGTATTGGGTGCATATATATTTAGGATCGTTAGCTCTTCTTGTTGCATTGATCCCTTTACCATTATGTAATGCCCTTCTTTGTCCCTTTTGATCTTGTTGGTTTAAAGTCTGTTTTACCAGAGACTAGGATCACAACCCCTACTTTTTTTGCTCTCCATTTGCTTGGTAAATCTTCCTCCATCCCTTTATTTTGAGCCTATGTGTGTCTTTGCATGTGAGATGGGTCTCCTAAATACAGCACACCAATGAGTCTTGACTCTTTATCCAATTTTCCAGTCTGTGTCTTTTGATTGGGGCATTTAGCCCATTTATATTTAAGGTTAACATTGTTATGTGTGAATTTGATCCTGCCATTTTCATGCTAGCTGGTTGTTTTGCCCATTAGTTGATGCAGTTTCTTCATAGTGTCGATTGTCTTTACAATTTTGTATATTTTTGCAGTGGCTAGTACTGGGTGTTCCTTTCAATGTTTAGTGCTTCCTTCAGGAGCTTTTGTAAGGCAGGCCTGGTGGTGACAAAATCTCTTGGCAGTTGCTTGTCCATAAAGGATTTTATTTCTCCTTCGCTTATGAAGTTTAGTTTGGCTAGATATGAAATTCTGGGTTGAAAATTCTTTTCTTTAAGGATATTGAATACTGGCCTCCACTCTCTTCTGGCTTGTAGGGTTTCTGTGGAGAGATCTGCTGTGAGTCTGATGGGCTTTCCTTTGTGGGTAACCTGGCCTTTCTCTCTGGCTGCCCATAGCATTTTTTCCTTCATTTCAACCCTGATGAATCTGATGATTATGTGTATTGGGTTGCTCTTCTTGTGAAGTATCTTTGTGGTGTTTTCTCTATTTCCTGGATTTGAATGTTGGGCTGTCTTGTTGGTTGGTGAAGTTCTCCTGGATAATATCCTGAAATTTTTCCAGCTTGGTTTCATTCTCCTCATCCCTTTCAGGTTCACTGATCAAATGTAGGTTTGGTGTTTTCACATAATCCCATATTTCCTGGAGGCTTTGTTCATTTCTTCTCACTCTTTTTTATTTAATCTTGCCTTCTCACTTTATTTTATTGAGTTGATATTCAATCTCTGATATCCTTTCTTTTGTTTGATCAATTTGGCTATTGAAACTTGTGTATGCTTCACAAAGTTCTTGTGCTGTGTTTTTCAGCTCCATCAAGTCATTTATATTCTTCTCTATGCTGGTTATTCTAGTT